AATATTGACCTTACTGAGCTTTAGCCATATCCGCTGCCTATCATAAAAAATGTTAAGTACAGTGAACCTTTCTAAAATATACAGTAGTAAAGAGACAAACCCACCAGCATTATAGTAGCCAAATTCTTGTTTGTGGGCTGTATATATAAAATTGACTTGAAAAAGTTGCTGATTTTAGAGTACTGGCACCTTTTTCATTCCAATTCAAGCACTGACTATATACCTACATAATCTATGGAGTCTCAGCTTTAATCGGATATATTGTATGTGCAGCTATGATAAGTAATAAGGGTACTTTTATCTTGAGTTCTGTGCCAATGTCTGTTAGCATTTTTCGCTCAGGGGTAATTTAGATGCTTCTTGTGAGACTTGTGTTTTGGTAAACATGGTTTGTATTGGCAGTTAGCTGAGATTATTTCCGTTAATCTGGTATAACACATTAATAGGTTCTTAAATATTAAGATCCCCTGAGACACAGTATCGTGAAAAAAAGACCCAGGGTCCCCGCTTAACAGGTTAAAGAGGGTTTCATCCCTCCCAATTCTATTATATCACTATGTAACACTCAGGCTTCTATTGGCTTGTGCTGCAACACATTATAGGTAATATGCTAAGGAGAGGGACATTTCTGACACATCTCTAAGCGGTTGACCAATCACAACAGAGCCGGCGGCCAGCTAACCAATCAGAGCAGACTGGGCTCTGGTTTCAGACAGAGGGTGAGAAGAGGTGCTGCAGCACAGGCAGTATGAGAAAATAGCTTTTTGAACATGTAAACATGTCTCAGTAGAAGCAGTACTTAAAAGTATACTTTATTTCCACTAAATATAGTGTGACCTACAGTACAATATAATATACAACATTATTTGAGATTGTCCCACTCTTGACCTAACAATCAACATCGGCACCTCTGTTGTTTCCCCGAGTCAGACTGCAAGGAATCTGGGTGTGATCCTAGATAACAAACTGTCCTTCACTCCAAACATCGTTGCTGCAGATACACGCTTTATAACATCAGGAGGATACGCAGGTTCTGGTCCAGGCTCTCGTCATCTCACGCCTAGACTACTGCAACTCCCTCCTGGCTGGTCTACCTGCATGTGCCATCCGATCTCTGCAGCTCATCCAGAATGCAGCGGCTCGCCTGGTCTTCAACCTTCCTACATTCTCCCACACCACTCCGCTCCTCCACTCCCTTCACTGGCTTCCGGTAACTGCTAGAATTCACTTCAAAAATAATGGTACTTGCGTACCATGCTGCGAATGGATCTGGCCCTTCCTACATCCAGGACATGGTTAAACTGTACACCCCAGCGCGTGCACTACGCTCTGCATCAGCCAAACGGCTCGCTGCGAGGGGGACCCAAGTTCCCATCAGCAAAAACACGTGGGTTTGCTATCCTGGCTCCAAAATGGTGGAATGAGCTCCCCATTGACATCAGGACAGCAGATAGCTTACACACCTTCCGGCGCAGACTGAAAACTCATCTCTTTCGACTCCACTTCGAGCAATAGAACTATTCACAAAGCACTTATATACTAATAAAGGACTGGCTTATCTATAGCCAGTTGAGTAGCACTTGAAATGTTTGGCTCTATGAAACCTGATGTACTTATATGATTCTGTTTTCTTCAAGGTTGTGTCTTCCTGGTCGAATGTACTTATTGTAAGTCGCTTTGGATAAAAGCGTCAGCGAAATGCAATGTAATGTAATTTGCTTTTTCCTATAACAGGAAGTACAGTTAGAACCCATATTTTGCTTGGCAGAGGTAAATACTTTCTGTATCATCTCTGTAAGATATGCTGATATTTTTGTCCTCTTTGTTTCTACCCTCAGTCCACCCTCCCTCCCCGTTTGTCATGTGAAGCACACACCAGCTCTTTTGCATTTTTACCAATGACAAATGGAGGACTACGGTCTTCAGGGGCAAAATGAGGAATCAGGTGCAGAAAAGCCTATAGGCTCCAGCAGCTTTAAGCCCAGGGGCCACCGGCAGAGGAGAGCTGTGATAAGTCTGGGCGGAAGAATGAATACGTTCACATGGGACGGGCGATACGTAGACAATCGGCTATATTGTTTTTCCCAGCCTGCTGTTGCATCACAATACACGTCCCAGTGCATACTTGGTGAAAATGGAAGAGGACATTTCGAGTCTTAGTGGGAAAAAAGTGCACCCAAAAGGCTGATTTCAATTAAAATGTAAATGTGTGTTGGTAAAAATAATAAAAGCACAAAGGGAAATAAATGAAATGATGGAACAATTTAAAAAAACATACCATTACAGAATCTAAATTAGGTAAATTATTCTAGGATACTTATCAGAACAAAAAAACATTGTATAATCTGAAAATAAAATGAGGTTAATGTTTTGGTACAAATGATTTATAACCACAAGTGACCATCAATAATATATCTGAGTATCATATTTAAGATTTTCCAGGGAGCTATTTCAGTTCACAACCCTTCTAATGCCATATAGTTCTTATGGTGTTATCAGTGTCTTTCCGTCCTAATTACCTTTTCATTTGATTGTTTGTAAGGCGTAGACACAATATTATTAACACCTCACAAAATAGGACTTTAAAGATTGAATAGCCACCACAGCTACAAAAACGGAACATGGCAATTAGCAACCTTTCCAGCTATAAAAGAGGTTTAGCAATCACTGCTGTGATATTGGTCTTTTCAAATCACCTTGAGGCAATGCACAAAGCTGTAAAGAGGGCAAATGATCAGTGTTTACATTATACTTACATCAGTTAAGAATATCTTCCCCAGTAATGACGGATAATCTCAGGGGAGAGGGGTCTGACTTTCCAGCAGCAGTTTACATTCACATCTGTCTTCCAACTGCCACAAATTGGACAGCGGGCATCATTTGTGAAATAAATGATTGGAATACACTTATCTTAAAGGGGAAAGGAAACACCAATTACAGCTATAATATTCCGGTAGTTTATTAATTTTACAATGGATATTGATCGTAATATTTATTGTATATGATATTACTCGCCAAAAGAAAATTAATTATCTGCCGGCCGGGTGGGGAATTCCGGGACCAGGCCGCCGCCATTAGGGGAGTCCCAAATGGTGACGTCACTGGGTGGGTCTTCGCTCCGGGTATCCATACCGGAAGTCAACACAACGTAGCAGATATGGCAGCGATGGAGGAATTTTGCAATGAGATCGACGTTTTGAACGATGAATTTGACTATTCGTCGGGAGATGACATTGATGTGGAAGCATCTACAGTTACCTGGCATCCCATGGCCTATGCGTATGAACCGATTCGGTCGAATACTAGAGTGGCATACGATCCGGAATCTGCCGAAACTACCGACGGTTCTGAACTCGCCGAGTGGGATACCACCAGTTCCAGTACCGACTCGGTCTCAGAGGAAGAAGATGTTGCTCAAAACCCGGGACGAATGAACAACACAGATTGGTGTACATGTAACAATTGTGTGGTGATGCCATCGAAAAATGAATGTAGATGTTGCAGGGGAATTGGTATCGACCACATGCTCAATTCAGACGGGAATAATCTCCAGTGTATCATGGAACACCGACTGTTCCCTATGGTTTCCATCGAGAATGATATGTTGGCGATCGCAATGGTATCGCTACGAGACGTGCATGCAGCAACCCTCGAACGACCAATAAATAGCGAGTAAGTGTAGGCCCTATTGTAGTGAAATATTTGTATTTATTCATGTTAGCAAACTATGGATAAGCTTAAAATGGGAATAATTTGGGTAAAACTGTGAGCTGGATTTGGGGCCTGTTGACATGTGTTTTTGAGGACAAAGGAAGATGGGGGAAGGTGAGAGCATGTCTTGAGTTGCATTCAACTTAGATCTAGCTACAGTGATTGGGGAAACCTAAGGTCTAAGGTGTTAGGGATATTTGGGGCTGCCAATCAAGGAGGTCCAAATGGGAGGATCTGATAACTCCTCCCATTGTCAAAGAGTATAAACACAGACACACACGCGGTGTTCAGCCTCTTTCCTCTGGCTGGCTCACGTGCAGGTAAATTCGGGATCCCAAAGATTTACTGTATTGATTGTATTGTATTGGCATATTACCATTAAAGTAGATTATTGTTTACTTGGTAGCTCTGGATTCCTTCCTGTATTAACCAGCTTGATAGGGACGCGCGGAGATTTGAAAAGCGGACCAGATATCCCTTTTAATCTCTAACACTATTTAAAAATATATAATTGTTTTAAATTAAATGATTTGTATCCTATTTATTTCAGCCTCTACAGACTAACAGCTTATCGGCAATTCACCATCTGGACTAGAGGTTTCCTTGGAAAAGGGAACAGAGTGCCGATACCTGCCTGTGTTGTGAATCGGATACGAAATCACTACCCATCAGTAACCTACAAAGGATTTGAATATTCTGCAGGGATATGATGTGACCAATGATTCCATGCATGGAAGGCAAATCTTTGACAGTGAAATCGTGACATTTAGGCTAGCGAAGAAAATTCTACTTTGATAATGGAACCATTCATACAATGTTTGTGATATATCAGAACAGTATTTACAACTTATATTATCAAGCATATACATGTATCTCACTAGATTCTACAAATGTTTTTCAGTGCTCGATGTTCATAAAATAATAAAGACCATTTTCCTCTATGTTTTTACCCTTCAAATAATAATATACAAATACTACCAGCATATATTACTTCAGCCATAGACGTCCTTTATTTATTTGCCACAGAGCCCCACAGGTTGACTAAGCTTCATACACCACAGACACATTGAGCCCCACAGGCTGACTTCATATATACGATAGACACATAGAGACCGACATTACTTGTTCACAAATCGACTTAGGTGGTGTGCCACAGCATCCTCCTATGGTTTTACCAGGCCTTTATGCGCACCAAGTGTCCTTTTCTCCTTCTCTGCATCTGTATGACGGTATTCTGCAAGTTCGGACCTCATGGACGATGCTGATAAACACCTCTCGACTACCCCTACCATGATTTCTCTTCGGAAGTTGTAGCTTTTTGGTGTCTTCATCGCCTTCACCACATATCCTCCAGCAGGCTTCGAGTACTGCAGTTTGAACTGCAGTGGTCTGTGCCTGCTCACGGTCGATGTTGTGGTTGTGATCCAATGCAGCGAGGCGTGCCTGAAAGCTCTCCTCCGTGAACTTCTTGCGCTTTGGAACGTACTTTGTATACAAAGAATGGATGCTCTCCAGCTCGCCAGTATGGATCCCTTCTGTAACCTGCAATTGAACAGAGTGGGTCATGAATGTCAGCATTATTTAGCATTTTTGTTATTACTTAATTTGTCAGATTGCGAACTATTGGAGTTGAGAGATGTCAGACATGCAATTCTCAAACATCACTATTGAATAATCACCCATGGTTGGTGGATAATTCAAATACTGATATTAATTATGCATGTGTTTGTATTTTTTTTTTTTTTACATATTTTCAATTTCATATTTTACTGTTTGTTCAGGGCTACATCCGTTGAATATATTCTCTTTAGATAAATATACTACTTTGTGGTGAATTTATAAGGCCAGAATATATAAATGAAGAAGGGCAATTAAGACAATACCTTATCTAGTTTTTTCAACAGTCTCTTGTCCATGACCACTTTCTGTAGAGTGCCAAAGGCCTTGGATGAACGCTCCAACCAAGGTCGGGAACTCCCATCCTCTTCAGAATAAGGCTTGTATTCACACTTCAGCATCTTCTCTGCCGACAGCCACTCGTGAACAGTGATGATATGATGGAGGATGGACGTCCATTTCTCCTTCAGCAGTAACGCGTCACCATTACATGTACACACACAGTACCAAAGATGGTTGGATACCATGCGCACCCACTCCTTCAGCTCGGTATTCCGAGCATCCGCTTCTTCACACCTTTCAGAATGTGCCACAAGTCAAACTCATGCTTGATGGTCTTGTGGTCCTCACGTAGCATATTCTGCACTGCAGGGTGGCAGTCTGTGGCTAGTATGGAAATTGTCACATTGTGATCCTGAAAATATATTTACCATACATTTAATTTAATAAAGCCAACATCTTCAATTTCTATCACACGGGTTTGATAGCCGCCCCGCCAGTTGCTGCCATCACTGCCTCATTGTGCAAGTTCCAGACACTGGTAACTTCCGGCAGCACATACACTCTGGATGTTATAGCAGTGTCTTGTCGAGAGTGATTCCAGGCCCAGACACTGGCATATCTCAGAAAATGGGCCATAAGCATTTCCAGTCAGGAAAATCGCAGCTGGCACTAACAGGTTGCAGGACATTGTGCCATTTAAGAGGGGTTGAGAAGTCCACACAAACTCATGGCCATCTATGCAGTCAGTTTTCACTGTCAGTCCAAAGCCTTTGGCGGAACAGTACGGCCTGCTGATCACACATTTTCCGCATCCGGCAAAGTTGCATACACAAAACAGCTTCATCAGTTGTGCATGGGATACCAGATATTTTTTGTCTGACACTGGATCTTCTCCGCCATCCACTGAATGTTCTCCATCATCCTCGCTGTCTTCGCTGTCATTCTGTATAATGTCATCTTCAGTAGGGCTGTAGTCCGACGAAGAAGGCTCAGTCCCTGGAATGCTCTCCCCAGAGCTGGAAGCATCTTCTTCAGGCATTGACACATCAGGTGTTGGACTCGGTGGTGCTTTGGCCATTGCATCTGCCGGTGCCAGTGTGGCGGATCCACCAGCAATGTCCCTGCTGACGCAATATGGATGATCATGACTGAGCAACTGATTGTTGTTGATGTCATCGGTCCCAGTCTGCACACTCACCAAAGTCACAGTTTTACACGGGCATGGTTCCAGTGGTTCCGTCTGTGTGGCCACAGTCACTGACTGCCCACGTTTAGTTGTGTGTGCCTCCAGTACCTGGGAATCATCACTTGCATCATCAGCACCTATGCAGGATGCATTTTCTGTCTGACAGGACAACAATCCTGCAGCAGTATGGACAGCTCGTTTGACCTGAAACAAAACAATATAAATATGTTACAGGTTAAGGTGAACTTGAAATATTCAAAATCATGACTATGATAAGTTGGCCGGAAAAACCCCATCGCCACTATTTACTAGGGATGCACGATATTGTTTTTTTGAAACCGATACCGATACCGATAACTTCCTGCTTCTCAAGACCGATACCGATAACCGATAATAATATAATATAATATATATATATATATATATTAAATGTACCTGTAGTTTTTGCACGCCTGATGGAAAAAAAAGACTAGTAGTGAGCAAATGACATGAGCATTACTACTATGAACAAAACAAAGCCAAGAACAGTTTTGACTCTCGTCAAGCGCCATCATTTATATGATGAAGTTAGAGATCGTTTTAGCCCTGGGGTCGTCTCTGGCAAACTTCTTGCCTTTTTTAAAAGCCTCGTCGATAGGTAAAAGCCCCGGTGCCTTTGCAGCTAGTTTAGCAGCGCAGGCGTCTTCGTACGCTTTTAACACACCATCGTAGCGATGCCGATGTTTCAGGTGACAAATCAGGTTGGAAGTATTATAGCTCGTTGCCTTTTTCCCTCCTCGTGGAACTTCTGCATTTGTTAATACAAATAGCAAGCGAACTATCTAACTCTGAAACTTTGAAATAGTCCCATACTACCGGCGACATGTTTGTTTACTGTCCTGGCTTCACGGCCGCACACCATTTACGTCACAGCCAGGCATGAGTTAGGGAGCGCTGGATTTGTGAAAAACTCCCCTCTTCCTAAACCACTAATACCACAGTACTGGCTAAACGGGAGGAGCCGAGTGAAAAACAAGCGCCCCTCATCCCAATCCACCCACACCGCAGTATTTTTTTCTTTTTTTTTACCCCAAAAATATATTGTATATTATCGGGGCTATTAATACTGTTATCGGGTTGACGTCATAATTCCTAATATCGGACCGATAATTATCGGGCCGATAATTATCGTGCACCACTAATATTTACCAATGTGATTATTCCATAATGGTAAAATAAAGAAACTGTTCATAGAAACCTAAGAATTAAAAGAACGTGATTGAGCCACCACAGCCCATCAGAGAGCAAACAATCAGCCTGAGCTCCATGGAGATGCCCTATAATTATGTAGACCTATGTGTATCTCGGCCGTTGGAAAAAAAATAGAAAAATATTTGTTTTTGAAGACTATTTAAGCAAACTCTCAAACTGTTATTACTCAGAGCAAAATATATTATTTATAAAGGATTGTGTTATTATTAAGCACATGTTCAGAAAATACTCAAGCAGGGCTAAGGATGGGCAGTCATTTTGATGAAGTATCAGGCTACCACATGTACCAGTCATGACATATATTTTGTATTTTCCAACACCTCATACATCTTGGCAATACCATCCATTGAACACCTAGTCCAGCAATACTAGCCTTTTTAGGGCTGTTTTCGACAGATGAGCGTGTGTATGCCAGTTTAATTAGTTGAGCTATTAACACCCCCAATTCTCCATTGTACGTCATACTAATAGCTACCATTTAGTTTGGACGCGATTGCGTTAATTAATAAGGTCACACTGTGTCAGTAAATACATGTGTGAGCTAGTAATCTGGTAGTGCTGCAATATTTATCTCTCTCGGCAGCTGAAGCAACTCGTTTGGTGGCTCGAACTTCACGTTTGTTGACACTGTCATTGTCTTGCGCGACCGACGTGCTGGGACGGTCGGTGTTCCCGACTGCATACGTTGAGAAATCGAATATTGTGGGAACAGATCCTGGCTTCAAATCCGATGTTTTGTATTGAACCAGGCATCCAGACTCATCAAACCTCATTTTGTGGACATAATCGTCATTTTTAAAGTGTTCGCTGCACACACGTGCGTACTGATTCAGCGGCGGATCGGACCGTTTCATGGAAATAACCCATGCTTTGAGCAGCTTCTCATCCGTTAGTGGCAGCCTATGGAAATGTACTTCTTCCTTCTTCGTATAAAATCCATTTGTGCAGCCTGGGGCAATACAATAAACTCCTGACGACGACCGTTTTATTTTAATGTAAACTACTGGTGCATTGCACGCCATGTTTGTTATTGAGCTTTGGCCCAGGAAGCCGTACCCACTCAGTGACGTCACTGGGAAAGTCCCGGAGCAATGGAAGCGCCCGTGGTCATTAGGCACGTATTTAAAAATAAATTCGCGTATCTCGATCGTTTACATTGGAAATAGACTAGATAAATACATTTCCTAATGGGAATATTGTCGCATGGAAAGCAGTTTGAAAAGTGTTTCCATTTCCCTTTAAATGAGGTTTACACGTATATTCCAGGAAGGAAGCAAATACAAACCACCTACATGTTCTTCTTGTACTGTCCTCAGCAGCATTTATGAGAATCATTGCACCATTCAATTAAATGTGTTTCATTTCCCTTGTAGAGCATTACTGTGAATACTTTCATACTTGGCAATAGAAACCACCAGCCTTTAAATTAGAGTTTTGCCCTTGGATAGTTCTTTCATACAAATTGATCAGAAGTTGTACACAAGCATTCACGCTTTGTTATTAATGTTCTTGCACTTTTTGTGTTTATTTCCTCCTTTATCTTTCTTGTCTTAAGAGCACTCTGGAAAACATTAGTGTGTGCTATTAGTCAGGTAATGATTGTGTGTGTGTGAGAGAAATAGTTTTATGACTTAGAATAATTCATCATACTTGTGCAAAGTAAATTATTGATAGATGCATACAAATGTGTAAATTGCATTACTGTATTTATTTAATTTATTAAATAGTCATAGAAAATGCCTCTTTTCAAGCCCATGAAAGTTGTTTATCAATGAAAAACCTTTCCATCCCATTGTACATTCTAAATGGTATTAATCTCACATTTATTTGAGTAAATAAAGTATGAAAATATCCGGATATATATTTGTTCTTCTTTATGCACTGGCCAGCTTTCTTCCTACTACTACCAAAGAATTGTTCAGTGATGATGTAGTCCTGCAGGAGTCTTTCCCTACAGCTTGATAAAAGAAGCTGTTCTCCAGTCGGGTAGTGTGTGGGTCGTCTTGAACAGGAAGTGGCCGGAGTGTGTGATCGAGATTGAGCATCCTTTACCACCCGTTGCAGATATTTACGCTCGGTAGCTTGGCTCTCCACATATAAACACCACTTTTTGAAATGTAAGTGGAAACAACAGAAAATAAAAGCTAACATTATAAAACAACTAGATCACGGTCGCATGACTTCACGTCACCACCGCTAAGCCAAAGGTGGACTTGTGTTGCCGTGATGACGTTTTGTTTATTTAGTCAAGTCTCAGACAAAGAGTTGAGTATTTACTGATGTATTTCATGTTGTTGAACAAAACGTGAACATCTTGTAAGCTTGATTTAACCAAAGACCTTACTTCAGGCTTCTAACCACAAACACGTTATTTTAGGACTCATTACACCTCGATACAACTTTGATTCTTCAATGCTTGTTAAAACTTTTCGAACACACTGGTTACTTGTGGTTTTCCACCCCCTTTACTCCTTAACTCCAACAGTATTATTCAGTGCTGTCATGTCTCCAATTCCTAAGCTTAATTGCTTGTCTGCACAGATAGTTACATAATGATGTAGAGAAAGTGGCTCTATGTTGATTTACACAATAGTAAGAGATGGGTATGTTGGGATAGAGAGAATTAGAATCACATTTTCTTGCACACCTGTGAACACATTACTGAAACTAAAAGAAAAAAAGCATGTATAAAGTGGATTTTCATCACAGGACAAGAATACTTAAACCCTGTCATCTCTTATTTAGAACCACATGCTGTATGTGGATGTTTTTGGCAAGGTGTACATATTTTATGCCAACATACAGTAGACACGGCACTGCACCTATCTGCATGAACACAGAATAAAGTGTTACTCTGCAGCATAGTGTAAAAATGGCTTCATTACCAGAGAAAGAGGTGCAATATAACTCTCTTGCATGCATTCAAACAGGGCATTGACTCCGGATTTGTTCCTCCACAAAATGTGCACTAAAATAACCCTTTGTATTATTCCAGCTAATTCTCATTTGAGCTCATTGCCACTGAGACATTGCTAATTAAAAAAAACAAGAGTCTCTGTGAGGCAGTACCAGGGCATAGTGGTTGTCGCTAAATGTAATTTGAAAACCACAAATGTCAAGGATTCACAAGGATCATTTGTTGTCATTATGCAACACAATACAAATGTTGCTTAATTAATTGTGCTACACATGGCGAAAAA